GGAAATCATGAAAGTAGACAAATTACTCAAGTATATGGATTTTATGATGAATCAATCAGAAAATATAAATCATTTAATGTATGGAAATATTGTACTGAAGCATTTGATTATTTAGGATTAGCAGCTATTATTGACCAAAAAATATTTTGTATTCACGGAGGTATTTCACCTTTTGTCAATAGTCTTGACGATATTACTAAAATGGAAAGGAGACAAGAAATACCTCACGAAGGAGCAATGTGTGATTTGTTATGGTCTGACCCTGATCCAGCTACAAATGATTGGAAATCAAGTCCTCGTGGAGCTGGTCATGTTTTTGGAGAAAGTAATGTTGTGAAATTTAATCATGCAAATAATATAGATTTAATTTGTAGAGCTCACCAATTAGTTAATGAAGGATATAAATGGTGTTTTGATAAAAAATTAGTTACTGTTTGGTCTGCACCAAATTATTGTTATCGTTGTACAAATGATGCTGCTATCTTTGTTATTAAAGGAGAGAATAAACAATTCTTAACTTTTAGTGCCTCTTCTGATCCAAATAGAGCTGCTGTACCAAATATTCCATTACCCGAAGCATATCTTTAAAACTAACAAGATAGAATCTCAACCTTATTCTTTTATTAAATTTATTAGTTTTTTTTATTATTAAATATAACTTTAAAATAAAGAAAAATAAAAGAAACTTTAAAAAATTTAATGGGAAAAGTACACGGAGGATTAACACGTGCAGGTAAAGTTAGAAATCAAACTAAAAAAGTTGAACAAGAACAAACAGGTAGAAAGAAACATCCAAGTGGAAGAGCGAATTTAAGAGAAAAGTATAATAAACGACAAGAATTATTAAATGGAGAAACAAAAAAGTATAAGTTTAATGCTCAATCTTAATTTAAACAATTTGTATTTTATTTTTGTTTTAGAATGAAGAGAATAAGTTAAATTAAAAAAAAAAATAATAATCATAGAATTAAATAACAACATTATAATATTATTATTAAATATTTTTTATTCTGCTTCTTCTTCTTCATTATCATCTTCATCTTCTACAGCTTTTAAAGACTCATCAACTATTTCTCTTACTCTTCTGTTATATTCTCTTTTATTTCTAACAAATAATTCAGCAGCTTCACCATTTGCTGGTGAACTAGGATTTGGTTCATTAAGAAGTAATTGAATTGATGATAAAATAGCAATGACATCATATGTTGGTGACCATTGAGATGATAGAATATCCAAACAAATATTTCCATTAGGATACACTAAAATGTGAGAATATTTTAATTTACTTTTCTTTTATTAACTAGTTTTATTCTTTCAATCATAAAATTACCACATTTATTATTGTGTCTTTTCTTTATATATTGATTAGGAAGGAATAAGTGTTAGTCTTAAAGGACTATTTGTTTATTAAATGAGGTATTTGCTGACGTGTGTATTTATTTCTGATTGAATAGAAATCAACAACAAAAAGATATATAAAACAAACCATTTGGATGGAACATTTTTGATATAAAGACAACTTTTGGAGGTTTAATAGGATATTCTTCAGTAAATGTCATTGAAAGTTGAAAAATACCACTTTCCCAAATTGTGTCATCTGGACCAAATATAACACACGTCCATTTCATAATATCATCTTCATCAGGACAAGCACTAATTCCTTCAGGGGGACTCTGTGATAACTTTTTAAGATCTATTAACAATCTTTTTCGGGCATTAGCTTCACTCATCTAGTGATGACTGTTTTTTGAAGTTTCTTTATTGAAGAAAAATCTTTATCTTCTTTTTGGGAAGAATTGTTTATTTCCTAGGATAAATTCCCGATCTTTTGGTCTTTTCTATTGAAGGGTTGTGATTTTCCTTTTAAAAAAAAAATAGGAAATTAATGAGAACTATAACTGAATATTATTAATAGTTAAAAAAAAAAAATAAAATTTTGAAATACTTCAAGACTTTCTTCTCTTTTTATATTCATCATCTTTTTGATGTTTTATTAATAAAAAGATCTTTTCATATATTAGAAGTTCATTTCAAAAGATAAAAGAAAAAGATTCAATTTTTGAAAAATTTAAAAAATTCTAGTAAAAATTTCATTTTGTTGATGATAGCAAAAACATTTGAATGGGGAGTGTTTTATAAGATAGATGTTGATTCTTTTAGTCATGATTATAAGAGTATAGAAAAGACTAAATCAAAACGAAAAGGAGGGACAATTTCTGGAATATCAAGAAGATTAGATTATTTAAAACAATTAAATATTACTAGTGTTGTTTTATCTGACTTTCCTTCTTGTTCTCATATTGACTTAATAACTTCTCAATTACACAATCTCAATATCTCTCTTTTCCTTTCAATTAATAAAAATACATTAATCACACATTCTCTCTTACAAACCCCAATTGATGGATTTTTTATTAAACATCCTCTTCAAGCAAAATCATTTGTACAGAAATTAAAACAATCTTTTCAACAAGAAAAGAAACCGTTATTAATTGCTGATGAAAATTTACATTCTTCTAAAGAACATTTTCAAGAGAATGTATTTCTGAAAACATTAAAATATATTCATGACCATGGCTTTTCTTATTTAACTCAAGAAGTAACACAATTATATCTTTCATTCTTTTATGATGGAATTGTTGATTATTCAGGAAATTTGATTTGTCGTGACTATGCAAAGGAAAAAGGAATTTATAAGTTTCTTCCAGAGTTTTTAGTAGGTCTTCATTATAATTTCCATACATTACTCTATCCATCCAATACAGTTCTTATTACTCCAGTGTTTAGAGATGAAAAAGCAAAAGATGCAACAACTCTTATAGCTCGTTATAGTAGTCCAATTATGATAGAAATGGGAATTGAATTACATCAAACAAAAGAAAAAGAACCTTTACGTTGGTCTTGGGCAGAAAATAAAGAAAAATCAAAAGAAGCATTTTATTACAACATGAAATTGTTTCAAACAAGAAAAGATACTAAAGTTGGTGTTCCTACTATTTTCACACAGAAAGAGGAGTTTATTATTGATTAAAATACTATTTAATTAAGTACTTATTTGGTTGAAGAGTTTTATGAATAAATAAATGAAAAAGATGAAAGAATTTATTGTTATTTGTATTGTAAATAGACAAAAGTTAATTGAAAGAGAAAACAGACTATTAGACTATTTTCAATTTATTTGGAATATTTTCTTTTTCTTTGTTTCTATTAAAAATACTTGATTTAGAATGATAAAATTGCTTTTAATACTAATTGAAAGATATTTTATTATTATTGATGTTTTTTTTT